AAACTAGCATTCAAAGATCACAAAGGTATGATGATAGGAATCCTGATCGAGATAGGAGGGAAAAAACACTAATCTGTAACATTTACGCCCAGAATGTTAAAAAACTCAGGGAAAACCTTTCAGAACAAGAATTTGACCACTTGATGATAATGGGGGACTTTAATGAAGCTATGGATATCGAAAAAGATAAAACCAAAATATGTAAGAAGAACAAAGCTAAATTTATAGGGAAACTCCCATCAATATTTCTCAACTTGCAAGATGAGTACTTGTTACAAGATCCATGGAGAGTACACCATCATAAAAAATTGATTATACTTTTTATTCTGATAGACCTAAAAGGTGGTCCAGGATTGATATGGTTTGGATCACGAAATCACTAACAACTAGCATCAATAAGATCAAAAATTTACCTAAAAAAGATACATGGAAATTTACATACATCAGAAACCCAAGACCAGGAGATGGAGACTTAATTACAACCTTTTAAAGTATGTCAGTGGTTCTCAACCTGTGGGTCTCCAGATGTTTTGGCCTTTAACTCCCAGAAATCCTAATAGCTGGTAAACTGGCTGGGATTTCTGGGAGTTGTAGGCTGAAATACCTGGGGATCCACAGGTTGAGAACCACTGATATCGACATATCAAACAATTTCCCTTTATATTAATCTTTATGGTGGGACCACAATGAGGATGAAGACAATTGTAAGGACTTTCGGGTATTGATCTGCACAGAGCCAGAAGGAAAGTCCAAAGCTGCACAACAGAAAACTGGGGTGGCATTTATAGTGAGGAGAGATGTAGCAAAAGCAGTCAAAGGATATAATGCAAAAGTTTGACCAAATCATAGCAATAGGACTTCAGGGAAATGCCATCAAAATATTCTTAATCCATGTTTGTGCTCTACCTACATAGGGGAATGAAGAAACTGGAAGAGTCTATGCTGGAGCCCAGAAGGAAATTGATCACATGTGCGGCTGGAATGCAAAATTAGAAAACAGGGAAGAAAAAAAGTTTGTGGGAAAATCTGGCCTAGGATTAAGACATTAAACAGAAGAGCAACTCATTGAAATATACCAGATCAAGTTTTTGTTATCATAAACACATTCTTCAAGCAGCTGTATACATGGACATGTATTCAGCCGATAGTCAATATAGAAATCAAATAGACTACATCATTGGAAGCAGAAGGTTACGAAACTTTATTATTATTATTGCAAAAACAAGACCAGGCGCAGTCTGTACTCCAGACCATGAACTACTGTTATCAAAATTCAGTGTAAAATTAAAGAATGTAAACATACATCCTTTGAATGTAAAGATAACGTGAAAGATAGACTGTCATAATTAATCCTAATTGACTGGAGCCAGAAGAATGGAAGAAGGGGAGGAATCCAAAAAGCCAAAAGGAAGCATGCCCAGAATTGGTAGCATGACTCTAATGAAGTACACCTTGATTTAGGGCTAAAGTCTCATTTACGAAAGTGGGACTTGATTCTGAGCAAGCCTCTTTGGGCTTGGAGATGTTAATAAGAGAAAAAAAACTGATATAGGTGGGGTGGCCAGATGAATAAAAGATCAGGGCTCCTATGCCTTTAAAAGAAGCCATTTCAGTAGGTATATCTCAAATCACTCTTGACATGACAAAAAAAAGTAGGTGTATCAAGGCAGGCTTGCTGAGGGAGAAAATATCATTTTCTACAAAATGTGAAGAAATGCAGATTGCTTTCATAACTTTCCCACCCACATTAGGGTGGAGATACACGCTGCGTCCAAACAAAGGTGACTCTATACATTATCTGAGATAAACAACAGGATGGATGCCACCACCCTCCCTTTCCACGTAGAACCACTATCTGGATTAGTATCAACCTAGCATTCGCAGGGTTAGGTATTTCTTAATGCTGTTTATTAGAAAGACAGAGGTTGTCAAACAGGGATGTATTATTGCCCCAACCTTATTTTCCATCTTCATTGCTATGATACTTCATCTTGTTGATGGGAAGCTTCCCACCAGAGTGGAAACCATCTATTGGACAGATGGCAAGCTATTTAACCTCAGCAGACTGAAAGCTAAAACCAAGGTCACAACATCTGTTATAGAACTCCAATATGCTAATGACAACGTAGTCTGTGCACATTCAGAAGAAGACCTACAAGCCACTCTAAACACCTTTGCATACAAGAAGCTCAGCTTCTCACTGAACATTGAGAAAACCAAAGTGCTCTTCCACCAGGCACCAGCCAATCCCTCTCCAATGCCAGAAATACAGCTTAATGGTGAAATGTTAGAAAATGTTGACCATTTCCGCTACCTTGGCAGCCACCTCTCCAGAAAAGTCAACATTGACATTGAAACACAACACTGCCTGAACTCTGCAAGTGCAGCATTTTTTTCTAACAAAGCAGAGAGTGTTTTAGGATCAGGACATCTGTAGGGAGACCAAGGAGCTTGTTTATAGAGCTTTTGTTCTCCCAACCCTGCTATACACCTGCGAAACGTGGGCTGTCTACAGACGTCACACTCAACTCCTGGAACGATTCTAACAGTGTTGCCTTGGGAAAATTCTGCAAATCAATGTATTGTCAAAGGCTTTCATGGCCAGAATTATTGGTTGTTGTAGGTTTTTTGGGCTGTATGGCCATGTTCTAGAAGCATTCTCTTCTGGCGTTTCGACTGCATCTATGGCAGGCAACCTCAGAGGTTGCCTGCCATAGATGCAGGCAAAACATCAGGCGAGAATGCTTCTAGAACATGGCCATACAGCCCAAAAAACCTACAACTCAATTTTGCAAATCTCTTGGGAAGACAGGCAGACAAATGTCAGTGTGCTAGAAAAAGCAAAGACCACCAGCATTGAAGCGATGCTCCTCCTCCATCAACTCCGCTGGACAAGCCATGTTGTCCTGATGCCTGATCACCATCTCCCAAAGCAGTTGCTCTACTCCGAACTCAAGAATGGAAAACGGAATGTTGGTGGGCAGGAAAAGAGATTTAAAAATGGGCTCAAAGCCAACCTTAAAAACTCTGGCATAGACACCGAGAACTGGGAAGCCCTGGCCCTTGAGTGCTCCAGCTGGAGGTCAGCTGTGACCAGCATGCTGTAGAATCTGAAGAGGCACTAATGGAAGGGGAAAGAGAGAAACATGCCAAGAGGAAAATGCGTCAAGCCAACCCTGACTGGGACTGCCTTTCACCTGGAAACTAATGTCCTCACTGTGGAAGAACATGCAGATCAAGAATAGGGCTCCATAGTCACCTACAGACCCACCGCCAAGACCCTACTCTTGGAAGGCCATCATACTTGAACAATGAGTGGTCGCCTAAGTAAGTAAGGGTGGATTACAACTCCCATAATCCTGTATCAGCCCCTCCCCCCAAATTACCAACAACATTCTGCCAGTATTTCAAGTTGGATCATGATGGAGGTGTGTACCAAGGGGGGTCCAGATCCATTGTGGATGGGAGACACATGGCTCTCTGGATGTGTGTGGACTACAACTCCTATCATCCTCTGTCCAAACCCCCAGCCCCTCCAGAATTTTTAGTTGGATCAGGATGGGGTTTGTGTGACAGCTTTGGTCCAGATCCCTGAAACATGAATATATTCCAGGCATGGGCAAACTTGGGCCCTCCAGTTGTTTTGGACTTCAACTCCCACACAGATTGTTAGGAATTGTGGGAGTTGAAGTCCAAATATCTGGAATGCCCAAGTTTGCCCATGCCTAATATATACATACATATCTTCACTTTTATTATACAGTTTATGATGGACCTCATCACACTAGGCTAGTGTCTATCCATTTTAAATCCTGTGGCTGCCTCCTGCAGGGCTCTGGGGTTTATGATAAGCACTGGTGTTTATTATTTATTTATTATTGATTTACCTTATTTCTATCCCGCCTTTCTCTACCCTGAGGGGGACTCAAGGCAGCTTACAATCGCACCTCCACAGTGCCTTAAAACATACAATATCAGCTAAAAACATAAGTTACATCTTTGTTGCCAGTGTGATGTCTCCACTCTTCACTATTTTATCGAGATTGGACATTGCTCTCCTCCCAAGAAGTAAACGTCTTCTGATTTCCCAGCTGCAGTCTGCGTCTGCAGTAATCTTTGCGCCTAGAAATACAAAGTCTGCCACAGCCTCCACGTTTTCTCCCTCTCTTTGCCAGTTATCAATCAGTCCGGTTGCCATAATCTTGGTTTTTTTTAATGTTTAACTGCAACCCAGCTTTTGCACTTTCTTCTTTCACCTTGATTAGAAGGCTCCTCAGCTCCTCTTCGCTTTTGGCCATCAAAGTGGTACCATCTGCACATCTCAGGTTGTTAATGTTTCTTCCAGCAGTTTTTACCCCAGCCTTGCATTCATCAAGCCCTGCATATCGCATGATGTGTTCTGCATACAAGTTGAATAGGTTGGGGGAGAGTATACAACCCTGCCGTACGCCTTTCCCAATCTTGAACCAGTCTGTTGTTCCACGGTCAGTTCTGATTGTTGCTACTTGGTCCTCATACAGATTCCTCAGGAGAGAGACAAGGTGATTTGGTATGCCTATACCACCAAGAACTTGCCACAATTTATTATGATCCACACAGTCAAAAACAGAAATAGATGTTTTTTCTGAAACTGCCAACCTAGCAGTTCGAAAACATGCAAATGTGAGTAGATCAATAGGTACTGCTCCGGTGGGAAGGTAACGGCGCTCCATGCAGCCATGCCGGTCACATGACCTTGAAGGTGTCTACGGGCAACGCTGGGTTAGAAATGGAGATGAGCACCAACCCCCAGCGTCGGACACGACTGGACTTAATGTCAGGGGACAACCTTTACCTTTAATGCAATGAAGTGGTTCTAATCTAGCCTGCGTTCCCCTGGGTTTTGGCCTGCAGGGGGCGCAGGCGGGCGCTTGCTTTGGCCCCGCCCCGCCCCTCCCCGCCCAGCTGAGGCTCAGGAAAAGGGGCGGGCGGGCGAGCCGGGGGAGGGAGGGCAGCGGGGGTGGGGGGGCTGGCGCTTGGCGGCCGTAAATGGGGCCCGGCGAGGCTCCTGCGGCTTGTAATGCCGGAGCGACATCCTGGGCTGGGGTTCCTCGGTGGCGTGTGTTGGACTGGTGGCCATGGGCGGGTGCTGCCTCCCTCTGCGAGCGGCCGTGGGCTTGGGCGTGGCCGGCCTGGCCTGCCTGGCCTGCGGGATCGCCATGATCGTGCTCGTGCCCCGCATCGTCAAGGAGCAAGTGGTCAAGGTAAGGAAGGGCGGGGAGGGGGTCAGGGAGGGAGGCAGAAGACGCGGACCGGAGGGTTCTGGGAGTGGTAGGCAAAGCAGGAGCCATAGCCGAGAGTCCCGGATGAGACCTGAAGGGGAGGAAGGACCAAAAGAACTGTAGGGGAGGAAGGACCCGGATGAGACCCTAATGAGACCTGAAGGGGAGGAAGGCCCAAAATGAGACCTGAAGGGGAGAAAGGGCCCGGATGAGACCCGTGAAGCCCCTCCGCGCGGTTCTCCCCGTGCCCGCAGGCTCCGAATTTGGCGGGAATCCTCCCGGCGTGCCTTCATAGCTAGCCATTCCCTCCAGACTCCCACCCGGCTCAGCCGGCTGCTTTGGCATAGGCCCTACTGCACGTCGGGCCTCCTTCCAGCCGCTCCAGGCGTGCCTCGAAAGCAGCTGTCTCCCTCCACAGCACGCCACTTGACGCACGCTGTCGAGGGAATGTACCTGGAAACAGTTGCAACCCGCTCCCAAAGGGCCACGGGTCCACACATCTGAAACTCGTTGTCAAACCCAGTGATATCGATACCAGGAACTTGTCCTCGGCTTGGACTGAGTAGAATCATAGAGTTGGAAGAGACCTCATGGGCCATCCAGTCCAACCCCCTGCCAAGAAGCAGGAAAGTTGCATTCAAAGCACCCCCAACAGATGGCCATCCAGCCTCTGTTTAAAAGTTTCCAAAGAAGGAACCTCTACCACACTCCGGAGCAGAGAGTTCCACTGCTGAACAGCTCTCACAGTCAGAAAGTTCTTCCTAATGTTCAGATGGAATCTCCTTTCTTGTAGTTTGAAGCCATCGTTCCACGTCCTAATCTCCAGGGAAGCAGAAAACAAGCTTGCTTCCTCCTCCTTGTGGCTTCCTCTCACATATTTATACATGGTTATCATGTCTCCTCTCAGCCTTCTCTTTTACAGGCTAAACATACCCATCTCTTTAAGCCGCTCTTCATAGGGCTTGTTCTCCACACCCTCAATCATTTGAGTCGCCCTCCTCTGGACACATTCCAGCTTGTCAATATCTCTCTTGAATTGTGGTGCCCAGAATTGGACACAATATTCCAGGTGTGGTCTAACCAAGGCAGAATAGAGGGGTAGCATGACTTCCATGGATCTAGATCAATGGTTCTCAACCTGTGGGTTCCCAGATGTTTTGGCCTTCAACTCCCAGAAATCCTAACAGTTGGTAAACTGGCAGGGATTTCTGGGAGTTGTAGGCCAAAACACCTGGGGACCCACAGGTTGAGAACCACTAATCTAGATACTATACTCCTATTGATGCAGGCCAAAATCCCATTGGCTTCATTTGCCACCGCATCACATTGTTGGTTCATGTTTAACTTGTTGTCCACAAGGACTGCAAGATATTTTTCACACATACTGCTCTCGAGCCACGCATCCCCCATTCTGTATCTTTGCATTTCATTTTTTTTCTGCCTAAGTGGAGTAGGCCTCTTCTAGCCAGCACACCTGCAGCTGCTTTATTGGGTGTGCCACACACCTACTGAATGCGGGTTTGATACCACTTGAGCTCCCATAGACCAGTGCTATGGTTTCATGGGAGTTGGAGTTCCACTGCAACTTCTAGGATTTCATAGCCTTGAGTCGTGACAGTGCAAGTGATGTCAAACTGCATTCATTCTATGGTGTAAATACACACAAAGGGGTGTAACCTGCTGGGCCTCATGCTATAACACAGCCCAAACAAACAATCCTTGATTTTTAGGCCTGTTCCCAGAGTTATTTGGGTCACTGATTCAGAAAATTGCATGGGATAGACTGCATCAGCACAGATTTCTTATGGTTAACATGATTTTCCATAGGTGAGCAGAGGGTGACAACCCAGTACAATTTTAACCTGTGTATTTATTTATTTATTGTGATTTTATTATTTTTTTGTTTATGAATTATTGCTTATATATTACGTCTTTTGGGATTTTGCTTATGTATGTATTGTGACTTTATTCTGTTGTAAGCTGCCCTAAGTCCTTATGGAGACGGGGCAGGATATAAATAAAGATTATTATTGTTATTACTATTATTATTATTATTCATATGTTCTGTATCAACACACTGATGAGGGGAAAACTATCGCCATTTTTTGAGTTAGCAGGTTTCGTATTCCCAGAAAGTTTGAGGCACCAAAATGTGTGTTGAGCAGTGTAATCAGTTTATTAGTCTCTAATGATCGGTCTTATGCAGGCTGAGCATTCACAATCCCAAAAACTCCTAAATTGTCCTAGATGAGTGTTAGAGGTAGTGACACCTTTGCTTTCTGATGGTTCAGTGGATATAACCATTATAGAATTATTCTGACTCAATTGTTACTGTTTATCCAGGCAGGATTTGAATGAAAAAAGTTCTTAAGAGCGAGCCAGAGGGGGTGCTGTAGGATATTTTAATATTTTAGTATTTTTAAAATGATTTTAAGTGTTGTAAAGGGTTTTAATTGAATGGTTTGTTTAATTCTATTCTGTCCAATGCTGTTATGTTGTAGATTTTAAACTTCATAGTTTTTTTAGTTGTCAGCCACTTTTGAGTCTCAATCAAGATAAAAGCGAGTTATACGTATATAATAATAATAACAGCAACAACAATGGCAACAACTGCTGTGGTTCAATGCTATGGTATCCAGGAAGTTATAGTTTTACAAGGTCTTTCGCTGTCTCTGCCCAAGAGCGATGATGCCTCACCAAACTACAACTCTCGGGATTTCAAGTGGTGTCAAACTACATTAATTCTCTACTGTAGATGCACCCTTCATTTCAGCAAAGCTTGAGAAAGTCCCTTTTTTGGCTTTGGCTCCCAGAATGCCCAAGCCCCTGGGAAATTTGGAGAGCTCTAGACCAGGGGAGGAAGGTTTTCAATTTTTCAAGCAGAGCACCAAGATATCTCTTATTTTTTATTTCCTGCGCTTGGCATTCAGGGGTGGATTCCTTGCTCTCTTGAATTGCCACAAAACTTTTTTTAAACTCAGTGGTGAGAAGCAGCAGATTGTTGGGGATGAGTTAGGGATGACTTCTTGGAATTGTCTGGGTTACAAAGCTCTTAGCTTACATGCTGCCCTAGGTTGTGATAGAGTCAGTCTGCAGTAAAACAAGATTTAGCTGCCAAGCTGGTTAATTTCTGTCACTGTACCAGAGGGGGTGGCAAGGAAGTGTCACTTATTCCTTGGCATCAAGATAAAAAGCACCTGGAGCCCTCAGTGAGTGTCTCCCAATGTTTGTCCCTGTACTGAGGGGTTCAGAAACGTACTGTACCTGAGGATACACTCAACAATTTGTTGCTAATGCCTTATTCCATTTGCCGTGCTGCCCTTTTTCCAAGGAGCTTTGGTTTGTGTCAAAGTGATGGTCCCTGAACCACCAGTCCCTTGTGAATTTCCAGAAAGAAAGAAACTGTTGTAGCCAATGGACCTAAACATGGTACCAGTCACACTGGGGAAAAACACCCAAAAACTGCTTTGTATTGAGCAGCTCTGTAATATAAGGCAGGCAGAGAGAGGTTGAGGGTTTGGACTGGCCCAGGGCTTCCTTCTACAGTGTGCTTCATGAACAAATAGGGCATTGTATTCAGATCTCCTTGGTTCTAACCAGGTGCCCCAACTTTGTAGCATACTGGCCTTTTGTGTTATGGCTTTTGCTGGAGCTTGGATCCTCTGTGAAATTAACATAAGTTGTTTTTCAATCAGATTCTTTGGTGATGGTTTGTCAACGTGCCCGCCTTGCTTACTTGCTTGTTATCTCATACATTGTAGTTTTTCAAACCACTCCTTATAGGACAAAAAAAACCCTCATACATTTTGTGAAATTGGCTTTAAGTCAGGGATGGAATCGTATATCTTTCCAGTGTTACTGAACTGCATACCCCATGATGAGGAATGTGGGTTGTTTCAGTTCAAACCCATCTGGAAGGCTGCACCATTTCCAGGTCTGATCCAAATACTTCTGATATTGGTTTCTGTTAGGGATATGCTGTCAAGGCTAGATGTAGAGAGAAGTGACCTAGGCAATTGTTTGAGCCACTGACGCTTGGAGGCAGGGGAGTGACATCTGTTACAGGCTAGATGGAAAATGTAAGTACAAATATTCCCTATTCATTTGTAAAGAGTTACTTCCACTCACTATGTGGCAAGTGTTGGGTTAATGGTCATCTTTTGGGTCTTTACTTTTTAACTGTGGAGACATTGAACAAATAGCGTTGGCATAAAATTTACCATAAAGGAACATTTCTGTGCTTGCAAATTCATTGCCTCAATAATAATAATAATAATAATAATAATAATAATAATAATAATGTCAATTTATATTGCACTTTTTCTCTCCAGAAAGGAGACTCAGAGACTCAATATTATAACTAAATCATATGTACACATAGGCTATCAAAATGGTTGCAGGAAATGCAGTGAACAAACAATAAAGAAAAAAACCCAACCCACAGCCAAGGTAATCACAAGCTGTGCAAGTAGAGCGTGTCAGGAAGTGTGTCTTTTTTGCTCTGTTAGTTCTGGCTCAAGTTAGGTTAAAGCAAATTACTGGGCAAAATTGAACAACAATGAGGTCTTTTTTCTTCTCGTTTGCATGGCACTGGTCTTGTGACTTTTATTTTGGTGGCGTGGCGAAATCGGTTTACTCATATGACCTTGCTTCCTAAGGAGGCTGCCAACTCAAAGAATCTGTCATTTGCTCTGGATGCCTTGGGTGTGGGTTGTTATATATAGAAAATGTGTCAAATTAACAGGGATTTTTGCGTGGGTATTTTCCTCTGTAGGCACTGGCAAAATAATGTACTTTAATAGAATATAACTACATCAGCTATACTGCCCCCTTGCCATTGAATGGGAGCAGATTGGCAGATTGGGGACAGCAGCTGCCCACTTGCTAAATACAAAAATACAGGAGTGTTTTTACGCACCTCTGTGATTAGTAATCTTTATATTGATACTAGCATATATCCCCAGCGATGCCCAGGTGTCAATGGGACCCCTGGCCACTTACTTTCTCTCCTCCAGCTTTGAGAGGGCCTACCTCACAATGTTCCCATGGTAGCACTCTGTCAATGGTGGGCAGGGTCTTCTTGCAGCTCTCTTTCCTTCCTCCATTTCCCCCATACACCTTCTTCCTTTCTCTTTTCTTTCTTTTCTTCTTACCTTGCTTTCCCTAATAACCTTCCCAGTGACATTGCAGAGGGCTACCTCACCTAGCAATAGCCAATCCACAGACATCAAAGAGGGCCATAACAGCCTTTGTGGTACAAACAGACAGGCAAACACTTTTAATTCTTATATTGATAGCTGACTTGGGTTCTCACAACTATACTGCCAATAGAGTTTGAGGATATATGAAAAGCACAGGGTTGACTGCCTCACACGGGTTCTAGCAAACTAGTAATAGTCAGAAAGTTAGACATTTTAATGATCTCCATCTCATTTCATCAGGTCTCCATTTCAGCATCTCTCATTGAGAGGAAACTCATCATATTTTGTGTAATTAGGTTCTAGCAGCTCTGAGGGTGCCTAGTCATTGATAGGTTAGAAGGGGTCATCCACATAAAGGAGGAACATTTCCAGGATCTCGGTTCTCTGCTTGAAGAGTTTCAGAGTTCATAAATGCAGAAATAGACAGTAGGCTTCGAAAGTTTACTTCTATGGTGCAATTAAAAGATCAGAAGTGCCTGCTGAAGTAGAGTTTGAAAATGTTGCTTGGAAGATTCCAGCTTCCCAGAACCTCCCAAATTTTGGATCTGACCAAAGATGCATCCTGTTCTCAGAGTGCCTCACTAGGTACCTCGGGGAAGCCCACAAGTCAATGCAAGATTTCTTCTTCAGCTTTGAAAATCAGGTTGTTGTTCTGGATTCCCGAGGCAATAAATCATTTAAGAGTATTCTAGAGGATTTATTTAATCTTATCAGATCTAAACTGATCTTTCTTTTTCATCCTTTTGAGAGATCCCGGACCGAGTCAGATAGGTTGAGGTGGTGAAGGATACCCAGGCAAGTAATGCTAGCTGTGGTCTGGAAAAAGAAATGCAGAATGTGGCACTTGCCTTGAAGAAGTTTTGCATGTCACAAAAGGGCAAGCGTTAGTTTTTAAACTGACATAGTAATATCTACTGAGCATGTGTAGGTGAGGAATTGCTAGGATTTTCTAGCTGATGTGAAAAGCTAGGGAACATTGTTTGTTTGGACTAGACCTCCCAGCATTACTTATGCAAAATGAGCATGCTGGGTAGGGGTTTCTACGAGTTGCAGTTGAGAAAAGTAGCTTTTTCCGTGAGAGGAACACTGTTCAGTGCTCTATTTCAGGTTGAAAAATACCTTGGCCTTCTCCTGCTCTTCTATCTTTTTTCACTTTCTTTTGTATATTTGGGCCAATGGGGGAATATAATGAATGAGTTTTGCTGAGATTAATTTCTTCCTGCAAAACTAATTCTATTTATTTAGGGGGTTTGTCAAGAGTGGGTTCTCTTATCATTCCCCTAAAAAACACTATCTGTGTTATTGCATTTCTGTTGTTGTGAAGGATATTCTGCTTATCTTAAGTACACGTGGACACAGCTTTATGTTGGAATGTCACAGGCTGTATCTCCTGTGATTCATGGTATACTGGCTGCCTCACAATAGAGGTGTTGTCTTGCAGAAGCAGAAACCACACAGATAAGTTCAGTCCTATTTGTTTAACGTTATTGCTTAATATTTCCCGTAGCTTTTCTGCCTACTGAATTCTCCAAAGCACTTTCCCAGAAAATGCTTAACAATCAAAAGAAAGATGAACCAATGGTTGCGATCCAGCAGTAAGTGGACAGAATGTAACTTTGACCTCATGGAATTGCCACATTATACAACAGAGTGTGCAACCAAATGCACAGATGTAACAACATGCACAATGCTCATCCCAAAGCAACTGTGCTTCTGCAGCCTTGAATGGAATGTGGCAGTTCTGCATTGGGCAAAAAATGTCCCAACTCCTTCTGTAGGGAAATTTGCCAACAGGATGTGTAAGAAGACAACAGGATCCTGGCTTGTATGGTTGTAATTGTCCAGTGGAAGATCAATAGGAGTGGATCTGGCTTGACCTCTTGCATCAGAGAGAAAGCCTGTTTCACATACAGGGATAGCTCAGTTAATGAAGTTGATGTGTTTCTTTAGCAGAAAATTTTTGTACCAATATAAATACATTGATTGAAATACCTTAACTGAATCCATTCACCTGAAGTGCAGTTTCCTTCTTTTCCCATTGCTTTCTACTTCCTAAGCATTATTTTTCTCCCCCAGCAAGTCATGTTGTCTCAGGGTATGTCCAAAATTGGTTAAACCTCTGTTTAGGGACTTCAGGCTGGATGGTAGCTGTTATGGAAAGATATGAAGACCTGTGATGCAGAAGGCAGAGAAGATGTGTTCTCTTTTATTCAAAAGGAAAAGGAAGCAGATTTTGGCCACTTGTTAATTTTATAATAAAAAGGAACTGTTCCAGCTCTGATGTGGTGGGTGTCAATTTGGGGAAGGCTCATCTGGGTAATGTGCAGCTAACGAAAACTATAGTCACCAGGAATAGAGTCTAGGCACCAGATATTTCTGGTGCATATGTATTTCTAGTTCATAGGCTGGATGTACCCAGTTTGTAACTTCTTTTGCTCTTATATTCAATAATTTATTAGAAATAAGATCCTTTTGGAACTGACTTGTTGAGGTCTGGTTTGTAGCCTGGGAGGCTGTGTCCCTGGGGGCTTATTCCTGAGAAGATATACCAAGAATTGAACCATTTACATCCTAAACCATAGACTTTACTATTATTTTGCTGTAAAAATGCAGAGAACGATTTAGTTGAAGTCAAAAGGCATGATCTTAAACTCTAAACTAGTATTGTAAATGAATTTATAGAGGATACAGCTGTGAACTCATGGAAGGAGGAAACTGAGTTATTAGAAATGAAGGGTCATGCCACATGTCTCTTGTTTTTGAGAGGTGTGTCAGGGAAAGCAGGATCAGTTCTTGCAAACTCTGTAGCACAGATTTCTGGTGTTGTTCAGAGCAGTGTCAATTGAAATCTAAATAAACCAAATCAAATGTACAAGTGGAAACAAACTGCCAGTCTTTGTGCCTGCCTGAGGTGGAAATCTAACAGGTGTGGTTTTCATTAGTATGTGATTGCAGTGATGGAGCAAACTTTAACAAATGAACAGGGCAGAATAGTGTACATGTGTGTGTATACCTCTAAATGCTGTTGATTCGAAACACTTCTCAGATCTGACCCCGGTAGCCAGTGGCGAGGGGTGAAAGGAGTTGCAGTCCAATGGTCTGATGTGCCCAGCGTCAGTCATTGTTTTGTGTTATGGAATGATCTTTAGCAGCTGACTCATTGCTTTGTGAGCATCAGCAGAAATACTTTGTTGCTCTCAGTACAAAATACACATGCCATATGCAAATTGAGAAAAAGAGGCCGGGTGGCAGGAAGTATCAGAATGTGGAACAGATACTTACCAGTGTCCATGTTAGTTGGGGGATTCTGGGAGTTGTCCAGGAAACTAACATAGCCTAGCACAGTCTTCCCAAACCTGTTTCTGGTGGGGACTGTTAGGAGTTGTAATTCAAGACATCTAGGTTGGCACAGGCTGATCTAACATTGGGAAAACCATCTATGTAATAGGACCATGGCAAATCAAATATTTTCTGCTGACAACAGTAGACACCTTCTTCCCTTGGACCAACATTGCATCACCTAAATGAGCAGCAGGAATGCCCTCATCCCATGAGGTTACATTTGGGCCTGTTCCACCATCAAGCAGGAGAAGCACCTGTCTCAGAACAGATTTTGCATGTCAAGAATGGGCAGCGATGGCTAGGTATGATAACAAACTAAATTACATCCTTAATGCTAGACTTCAAATAATTCCCTAAGCATGCTAATTGAAATAAAGCTTCAGAGATACTACTAAAACTATCTCTGACAGCAATTAGCATAGGATGGTTTCACTGAAGGTAAAGTGAGGCCTGGTCCTTGGACATTACATCGTCTGTTAGCAATACTAGCTCTTAAGTAAGGGCAAGGATGGCTATGCACAGTTACGCGCTGAGACAGCCATGAAGGTACACTGTCCTTCCTTCTCCCTTTGAGCAAAATAAGGAGCTTCCAAACTGAACAAATTATCTCTGATTCCAACGTACCAGAGAGTACCGGTGGAGTGGTTGGCCTTTATGCCAACTAGGAAGCACCTCCTTACCTCCTCTCTCATAGTCAGAACATTTTTATAGGAGTTCTTTAATGGGATAAATGTACTGGGTCTTGATAAAGAAAGCAAATACCTGAGTGGTGGTACATTTCATGAATGGTCTGGGATTGGTGTGGCAGGGGAAGGAATCGGGATTTACTTAGCCACCTTGACCTTTTTGGAAGGAAGGACAGAAGGAAATAAAATATTTCAAATGAAAGAAGCCAACATATATTCCAAGCTTGGAGACTCACTTTCAGATTGCATCCTGTCCAACTAATGTAATCCTTGCTTGTCATTGCAGAACGTGAGGCTGGAGCCAAATGGCATGGCATTTGAATTATGGAAAGATATCCCAGTGCCATTCTACATGTCCATCTATTTATTTGAAGTACTGAATCCCGATAACATTCTCCGTGGGGAAAAGCCGGTAGTGAACCAACGTGGCCCTTATGTATACAGGTTTGATTTTTTTCTCTCTGGCTTCATCTGTGTTTAGATCTGATACCTCTATGTAAATGCAGTTGACTATAGAAAGAAATGCAAAGGGCAATGACAGAATCCATTGGCAATCTTCTGTGCAAACACTATTGAAATGAATGAGAGTTCAGTTGAGCTCTTATGCAAAAGTGCAGTAGTTGTCTTTTTACGCTTCAGTAGTGCTTATAAAAGGTGCAACATACTTGCAAAGAAATGAGCTCTAGGACCTTCTAAAGACACACTTAACTCCTGCAACCTTCAGAAATTATAATTGAGAGTAGTCATCACTTATTGCATCATCATACCATTTCAGACATCCTTGTCATAAATTTAATTTTCAAATACAAATTTATTTATTTATTTATTTAGAGTTTTTATATGCCGGTCTTCTCCACCTCCTAAGAGGGATTCAGGCCGGTTTACAGCATGAAATTCAGATACAATAATAAGATACAAAACATCCTCATAATACAATTAAAATACATTACAAGTACATTAAAATACAATCATAAACATTACACAGGTCAGGTCGTCAGGTGAAATCACAATTCGTTGCCATCCTTCCATGTGGTCAGAGTCATTGCCTCAGTCATCGAATGCCATATTCCAAAGCCAGGTTTTTACTTGTTTTCTAAACGATAGGAGGGAAGGGGCAGATCTAATCTCTAGTGGGAGGGAGTTCCAGAGCCTAGGGGCCACCACCAAAAAGGCCCTGTCCCTCGTCCCCACCAGACGCGACTGCGAAGGTGGTGGGACCGAGAGCAGCCCCCCCCCCCCCGAAGATCTTAATAACCTTGATGGTTCATAGGGGAGAATCCGTTCGGACAGGTAAATTGGGCCGGAGTCGTTTAGGGCTTTATAGGTCAAGACCAGCACTTTGAATTGTGCTCGGAAGCTAATTGGCCGCCAGTGGACCTGGCGTAACAGAGGCATTGTGTGCTCCCTGTACCCCACTCCCGTTAGTAATCTGGCTGCCGCTCGTTGGACTAATTGAAGCTTCCGGGCAGTCTTCAAAGGCAACCCCACGTAGAGAGTGTTGCAGTCGTCTAAATGGGATGTAACCAGAGCGTGGACCACCGTGGCCAAATCAGGCTTCCCAAGATACGGTCTAATTGATTTCATCCAGTTTGCACATGTGCTATGGTTGGTATTAGTGTAACTTGTCTTAACTATTTTCAAATTGTCTGGTTTTAACTGGTAAAGCGTTTAATATACGGCTTCTGTGAGTCTCCTTGTGGAGAGAAAAAGCAGGTGAATAAATAAACATAAACATAATAATAATATTTCTAGTTATTATGTTATTGTTATTGTTTTAGTTTATTTTATTGTATGGCACCCTGAGATCTTTGGATACAGTGTAGGATACAACTATTTCAATAAGTAGACACATAGAGGGGGACGCAGTAAATGGGCTGATATTCTGCAGGCTCTCATTTGTGAGGCAGTGTTGGCTTTCTCTTGCCTAGCTCTGCACTGAAGTTCCCCTGACCAGCTTTGCAATTCAGAAGGCATCTCTGAAAGAATCAGAGCAGGTTAATTGAGGGGATCCTTAAAGACTTTCCAGAACTGCAAGCATCCAGCAAAATTGTTGCACGTGCTCATGAATTTCCCAGCAGGTTTAGCTGCCAGCATAATCTCAAGCTTGTTCTTGGTCTATGTTTGGTCTGTGTAGCTTCTTAGCATATTTTTGGGGTTTGGGCATATGCATTGTCACCATGTACAGCGAAAGTAGGTGATGTAAAAGCTTCTTAACATAATTTCTTTTATTTCTTTCCCCCAGAGATTAGATGTAAAGTAATTTATCCTTCTTCCTGCCAAGACCCAAAGCATCTGGATTAGCATGGCACATAGTGTAAAGGGTTATCCACTGAGCTGCTTAATCTGCCACACTCACATCACTGACATAGGGAAAACCAGTTATCCATTTTCTTGGAGGCTCTTTTCTTTCTTAACCATAGCGGATATTTCTGTGGCATTTGCCCCATTGGTTTCAGTGCTGAGAGCAGACCTGTGTAGAAGATTCCAGATTGTTAGCACTTTTCTCCACTGAAACATATAAGCAGACTTTAAGTGCAAGACTACTGAAGGGATCAGTCTCAGCCTGCTCATCCCCATTTAGAATTAATTCTTGAATATCCCATTCTGTACTGGCATTTTTTCAATAGCCGGTGACTTTTTTTATCCACCCTCTGCCTGGGGCGATGGGTGAGTAGCCTATAGTGATCTTAACTGCTGCTCCTTTGGGGTTGTTTACCAAGAGAGTGGGTTACAAGCTTTCCTCTGTGATACCTGCCAGGCTGAGTTCGTAGGGACTAGGGCAGAAGAAAGCCAGGAGTCAATATGTGGTGTTAATTACCCGAGGATGAGTGAGGATGAATTACCCGGCTCTGGAACTCTCTCCCATTGGAGATTAGAGCTGCCCCTTCCCTCCTGACCTTTAGAAAGTTGGTGAAAACCTGGCTCTGGAACCTGGCATTTGATGAGTGAGTCAATAACCCTTGATCACACGGATGGATGGTGATGGATTGTGATTTTATTCAGATGACTTGGCCTTATGTAATTATATGACTGTATTTTAATGTGTTTTATATCAGAGTTTTATAGGATGTGATGTTTTAACTATTGTGTGTGAACCCCTCTGTTGTAAACCGGCCTGAGTCCCTCGTCAGAGGTGAGAAGACCGGTATATAAAAGTTCTAAATAAATAAATAAATGTCCCATAGAATAAACCTCCTATAAACATAGTCTTTATTCCTATTATGGCAGACTATTAAAAAGCAAATTGCATTTTAAACTTCCTTCCAAAGTTAACGACACCACATCATAGAATTTATTGCACCCTAGAACTGTTTTGCTGGTTTTCTCCTCTTCAGTTCTGCAGCCAAGGTGAGGAATCACTTTCAGTCTGAGGGCCAAACTTAATTTAAGACAAGTTGAGAGTAGACACATTCCACAGGTGGACAGTGTCAAAAAATTTGAATATCTTTTACTTTGGCTCTGCCCACTAAGCATATAGGACACAACCCATTTACGGAGGCTGGTCAACCATCCAGTGGCAGGGTCCTAGGCAAGAGAGTGTCCAGTGGTCTATGTGCTGCACTGTTTGCCAATTTTGTTAAAACTTTGCTGGCGAGCCATGAGGCTGGGTCTTTTTGTGTGTGTCTCTTTTGACCCTTGGAGAATCCCTTAAGGGACCTCAAGTGTGTAGGCAAATAGGACTGTGCTCATCTCAGGGGCACATTCACTACCTCTCCCGCATAAGAAACGCATACAGTGGCCTACATGGATTCCATGGCGATCACTCTCAATTTTTCCCACAGACAGTATTGTATTGGCCTAACCGAAGGACCCAGGATCAAATTACTTGCCTGTTACCCAATATCTTCTAGGAAGGATCTCCATGGGATTCTTTATGGTGGTGTTTTGACACTGTTTTTATCATGTTGGAGAATAATGAGTTTTATTGGTCATTATTTTTGATACTTTTATATCAAACAAAATCCTTTGGATTGGCAATTGAAAGAGCACCTGAGAAGTCCCCATCAGAACATCTTAGGAAATGTCTGTAAAAAAAAAAGTGAGCCTAATTCCTCCTCCTGCTAAAGGCAGGTGCAAAATGGCAGCTTACCATTCAGATCTTAAGTCATGCACCCTTTTTGACTGGCGTCAGTTAATACACATCAGGGACTCATGCATGCAAGATGTACCCTGCCTTTTAGTCACCAGCTGTTCTCTGGTGAAAAAGAGCCCAATCCAAAGGGAAGAGTTTGGGTTCTATTCTTAGAAATTATTTATTTAAGTACGTATATTCTGCCTTTTAACCAAAAGAGTCTTTCTGAACGGCTTACAAAGATAAGGTTCCTGCCTTCAGGCTTGCGGTCTAAATTTAAAGACCTGGCGCATTAGAGATGGAGAAATGAAATTCATGGGATTGCCATATGTTGAGAGGTGACTTGAAGGCACATACACTCACAGGGCTATTCGAGGTTGGGGGTTGGGGGGGGGGCATCTACCAGTACCTCAGTCTGGGGCCCAGAGAGCCAAGGAAAGGCCTATTAATTCCTTACTCAAAAAGCTGTTTACTGTATATTTTATCATGCCCATATTATTCTACAAAGAAGAAAACACTACAACTTTAATGTTTCATGTTATACCATTATCTTTATTGGAAAGGCCTCATTGAGAACTGAAGGTCAAGGTCAGTGGACCTTAAGTTTGAGAGGAAACTGCAGTCCAGGACAAAAAAGGGCACCAGGTTTCCTATCTTGAACTTAACCTGTGAATGAATTAAATGTTTCAGCCTGGTTTAGGATAAATGGTTATGTACTCCTGTAGGGAGTGGGTTGAACTGGTTCACCCTTGTTGTCTGTTTCACATATATGGTTTTATGGTTCTGAATGTTGGAAAGTCATTATTGGGGTTTCAACTGCAAGGAAAATTTCTCTCCAACTCGTCTCAATACAGGTAGTACATGTGACTGTTGATTTAGTCATGGTGTGTCTTCCTTGCAGGGAATATAGAGTGAAAGAGAACATAACTTTTCATGACAACGATACACTGTCATTCTTGGAGTATCGCCAATTCCACTTCCAGGCAGACATGTCCAGTGGATCAGAATCGGATTACATTGTGGTACCAAATATGTTGGTGTTGGTAAGTAAACTCACAACTCCTGTAAAATTCAGGCTGTCATCCTACATCCACTACACTGGGATTAAAAACTATGTTGGAGAAAATGGCACCACAGGAGGATCTTACATTTCTTCAATACCTAAGGATTGCAAGAATTTTAAATATGCAGTGCTGCCCAACATCAGAAATGCTCACTCAGCCCACTCCTACCCCATAGATTTTTTATGAGGAAAAAGTGGAAAGGAGGAAAGCCTTGATTTTGATGTAAATGGCAGGCCACCGTAAGACAGCTTAGCTTTTGCATCATTGTGCTAGATATTCTGCTCAGTACAAAAGGAGCCGCAGGTTCAGACATATAATTGCAGTGGTGTTAAGTAATTGATTTATTTTGAGGCATGTAAGCATAGAATTAGATACCTAATTTTGACTCTTAAGGTGATCTACTAATACAAGTGAGAAAAAAACACCAGTTCACCATTTTCTGTGCAGTTTCCCCACATGACTTTTAATAGCCCCTCCAAAACAAGAAAACCTTTTTTGGAAGAGTTGAAGTACTTGCAATAGAAAACACCCAATTCGGTGAACAGAATTCTGTTCTGTTTGTAGAATGGAAATTGTAAGCCATAGAAACATACTCTCCCAACCTCATACTCTACAAATATGCTGGATTACAATTTCCATAACTCCTAACCTACAACTCACACTTGCTGTACTGTGTTGGGATTAGTAGTCCAATATATCTGGACAGTACCAAGGCAGAGGAAGCTGCTGTACTTGATCAGATTAGGAAGGATTATGAAAGAATACCAATTCGAACCAGATTAGGAAGGAATACCAATTTGACTAGGTAGGTCTAATTGAATTAATTTGAGGAGATTAAGATACAGGAATTACTTCATTAGATAGTATAGCTATATATTCGCAATGCCTTACTTTCCAGAAGTTAATCTTACTCTTTGTGCTTTATTTAAGTATATACTTGGAAACAATTTCTGGGGAGATTGTTTCCAAATTCCAGTTTTGTTAAGTTTCACCTCAGAAAATCCTTTCATCAGGCCAAGACCCTTCAAAATTCTGCCTAGAAATGAACAGTCACTAATCTATCTTTTTAAAGAAACATGAGCAACAATTGAGATTTAACACACACAAAAACAGATAAAAAATGTCCAGTCTACTGACATCTGGACAATGGCACTATCATTTACACTATTTTAATATCCTAGTGACACACTAATCCAGTAGAACACTTAATAAACCCTTCCTTTAAAAAGCCAACCCTGCTGTGTCTCAAGAATTATTCTCAGTCTGTTTTTAAACTTGTCAAGCAAGATTTTAAAGTGAACAGAAAGGAGCATTTTTAAATAGTGTTTAATAGCACAATTCCAAACACAGATAAAGAAATTCTTGCCTGTGGGGAGCCTGGTTGTTTTTTGTTTTTTTGTTTGTTTTTGGGGGTGGGGGGGGGTTGCTGACTTAAATTTCCTGGAGCATGTTTTCTGCTGCCCTGGAGACTTGCCATGGGTCCAAATGGCAGGAAAGGAGATTCTATCTAAAGATTAGTAAGGACTTCCTAACAGTAAGAAGAGCTGTTCAACAGTGGGACTCTCTGCCTCAAAGTCAGGTGGAAACTCCATCTCTGGAGGCTTTTATAAACAGGCTGGATGGRCATCTCTCAGGGGTGCTTTGATTGTGCTTTTCCTGCATGGCAGAATGGGGTTGGACTGGATGGCCCATGTGATCTCTTCKAACTCCGTGATTCTATGCTTCCAGGAGTCACTAGGYACTTATGTCCATGTTTATGCAATGCAGCTAATGTATGATGCAATAACCTGATCCTTATAGATACCATGGATTACTCAAAAGTAAAAAAAAAAAAAAAAAAAGGGGGGGGGGGGTCTTAGAGCTAATCAGGTTTSWACTTTCCCTAGAAGCACAGGCAATTAAAACACGACTGTTGTACTTTGGATGTATCATGGTATCTCATTGGAAAAAATTATCATGTTGGTTAGCCTATAAAGTCCTAAACGATACTGGCCCAGTTTACCTGTCTGAACATATCTCCCTCTACAAACCATCAAGGACCTTAGAATTGTCCGGAGAGACCCTGCTCTCAGTCCCACAACCTTTGCAGTTGCGTTTTGTGGGGACGAGAGACAGAGCCTTCCCCGTGGTGGCCCCTCAGCCTGTGGAACTCCCTCCCTATGAGATCAGATCTTCCCCTTCCCTCCTAACCTTCTGGAAGAAACTCAAATCCTGGATGTGGGATCAAGTGTTTGTAGAAGGACAATGTTTTAATAGATGACTGGACTGTTTTTAGGATGATGATTTGAACTGGTGAACTGTTGTAATGCAATGTATATTTATAACTGTCTTAATTTGTACTAACTGTATTTTATGCTGTGTTTTCTTTTGTGTTGGCATTGAATAGTGCCTGTTGGTAGCCATCCTGAGTCCCTCTTCGGGGGTTGAGAAGGATGGGATATACATGTTCAAAATAAATAAATAAGGTGAAAAACCATACTACAGGTAGATAAATTCAATCAGGGAAGTCCCAGCTCTAAGTCTGCCAAACCTGAGCTGGTCTGCTGATAACAGGCAGTCTCTAATTAATCGTCAGCTTGACGGTAAATAATGTCCTGCCCTCTGTTCTTTCTTTCCCACCCACCTCTTACTTTTCTCTGTTTTGTCTCTCCAACCCCCAACTCAGGGAGCAGCTGTCATGTTGGAGGATTTGTCATTTCCTATGAAGCTGACTGTCAGCAGCACTTTTGCCCTCTTTGGGCAGAAAGCTTTCATGAACTTGACAGTGGGAGAAGTCTTGTGGGGCTATGACAACCCCCTCGTCGACTTCCTGAACTCCATCAAGCCGGGCATGATTCCATTCAAAGGGAAATTTGGTTTGTTTGCTGATGTACGTATGTATAAACGAACTGACAGATAAATATGGGAAGAAATGGTTTGAGGCTAGTGCAGGATTGTTGTTTACATTAAACATGAGGCATGTAAGCATAGCTTTGAAAAGTTAATTCTTCTACGTGGTGTCTGAAATCGCACATATGGATTATCTTTTGCGCATGTGCAGCTATTTGGAACCTTCTAGGCCTTTTCGGATTGAATCGTTTTGGTGGAGGCCCTGCCCACACTCCTCATTTACTGTAAATGCCCGTGGGCAGAGACTACACCTCCGTTCCTTTTTCCGCTGCTACCAGCAGCTTAGGAACCTCTCTCTAGTGTCTGTTGTATCTCTCTCTTTTTCTAACAGCTGACTTGGACTGTCTGACTATCCCTCTGGCTTACTCTGACTTACCTGTAATTGTAAACAGCTTGACTCAGACTTCATACTGACTATTCTATTCTCTTCTGCCCACTAACTCAAACTCCCTGATGACTCTTTGGACCACTCACAGGCCAGTCTGATCATGAACACTTTCTCTTTTTTAAAGAAGTGTGGAGCCTGGAGGGGCAAACTCCCAGACTTYGATGGATATGCTATGTGCCATTTTTGGTTGGGGGAAAGCCATGTCCCACAGTCATGCCAAATCTGCCTAGCTTTTACCCCCCCCCCCCCAAAGTGCAACACAATAGGCCATCTTGCCTTAAGGCGCTCCTCTATGTACAGTTTTTGGCGCCATCGACTACTCGCCCCGCCAAGTGCTCGGCCTCAGATCGACAGGCTACGTGCCCAGGGCCACACCTTGGCCTGGGGCATTCAGTCCATCCTAGGCCACATGCCTTCTACCACGTCCGTGACGCAGTTCGTAAACTCAGATTACGCCCACTACAACACTGGTTTCTATGAGTATTTCACCCACTGGTCGACAGCCCAGAGGACCCAGCTGGATCCATTGCCTAAGATCCTTCATTCCTTGTTCTGGTGGACGAGATAGTCGAACACCCATTCAGGGGTGCCATTCACACAGCCATGCCCCTCTTGGTGGCTGACGACAGATGCATCCCTCCAGGGCTGGGGAGCTCATCTTTCAGTGTCTCATGATTCGTGACCGTTGGTCCCTGCGAGAGAGATGTCACCACATTAGCTACCTAGAACTCTTGGTGGTGAAGGCCCTCAGTGTGTTCAAGACCTTGGTGACAAGACAAGTAATAAAACCGATAACAGACAACACAGCGGTAAAATTTTATGTCAACAAACAGGGCGGGGCACACTTCCAAGGCCTCCTCTGTCTCTCAGTGAGAATCTGGGAGTGGTGCATCTCTCAGAAAATCCAACTCTCCACCAGCCACCTCCCAGGAGAGGAGAGTGTCTTGCCCAATACCCTCAGCAGGATGTCTTCGGCCAACCCTGGGTGACAATTACATTGCAGGGGTCAGCCCACGTTGGACCTCTTCCCGTTGCCACTGAACAAGTAGTGAGATCAGTTCTGTTGCTGGCTGCAACCCCAAGCTGTGCCAGGATGTCTCGGGGACGCCTTCCTGTTTACGTGGTCGCCAGGCCTACTTTACGCATTCCTACCAATAGCGCTGATAGACAGTACAGTGGCCAAAGCCATTTTAGACAGTGCAAGCTGCATTCTGATCACCCCGAGGTGGCCATGACAGCACTGATTTGCACCCCTTTTACACATGTCGGAGAGTAAGTACCTCCGCCTATGCTCCAGCTCCAATCTCCTCATTATCCAGGGTGGCCTGGTCCATCATCTGGACCTACCTTTTCTCCTAGTCACAGCGTGGAGGATCCAGCCATGACACACCTCTTAGAGGCAGTCCAGTAGATAATTGGTGCAACCCAAAAAGCCACTATGAAGTGACCTTATGATTATAAGTGGTCCTATTTTCTGGATTGTCTCAGACCAACTGAACATGAACCGTTCACGGCCCCTATTTCAGTGATTCTGGACTTTTGGGTCCACCTCTCACAGAAAGGTCTCTCCCTTTCATCTCTTAAATGCTATCTAGCAGCCCTCACCTGGAATAGGAGAAGGAGAGGAGGCCCATCCTGTTTCCATGACCCATTAATACAGCTTTTCCTTATGGGCTATAAGAACCTACATCCACCTAGTTTTCCACCGCCTCCGTTATGGAGCCTGGAACTTGTTTCCTCTCAGTTGTCAAAACTACCTTTTGAACCTATGGCTTCTACTGACATAGTACACCCGTTTTGGAAGATGGCATTTCTTGTAGCCGTTACATCAGCCAGACGTGTCAGTAAGCTTTGTGCTCTCCGTGTTGACACCACTTACCTCGGCTTCCACACGGAGAAAGTGGTGCTCCGGACTGACATCACCTTTTTTATCAAAAGTGGTTTTGCGTTTCCACATGTCATAAGACATTTCATTGCTGGCCTTTTTCCAAACTCATCTTTGGAAGTCGCCTTGCATTCCCTGGATGTTAGACGGGCCCTGGCATTCTACGTTCAGGACAGCTTCATATAGAAAATGGGTACTTGAGGCTACTCCACAAGTACTGGAAGGATGCTATAGGCTTTCTGGTCTCCTCACAACACTTGCCGTCCTGGATTTTCTCGACAATCTGCCTCTTTCTAGCTCGCTGGAAGAGACCCACCACAGCAGTTTTCGACCCACTCAACGAGAGCTATTGCCATTGCACAAGCTTTCCGGAGGGGTATCCCCATTGATGACATCTGTCGGGCCACAACCTGGTCCAAGTCACTGATGTTTGCTGCACATTACAAGTTGGATGCCATGGTGAGGAAGGATGTAGCTTTTGCCATGGCAGTGCTGTTCTCCTGTGTGGCATGACCCTTCCTCTGAAGTTTAGTAGCTCTGAAGTTTAGTAGCTAGTTATCCATATGCGCAATTTCACAGACAGCACGAAGAAGAATGAGTTGCTTACCTGTAACTGTGTGGTGATCTGTGAAAGTGGTGATATGTGAAATTTGAACATCCCTACCTATCCTCCTGTCTTTGGTCATGCCTCTGTGCACTAGCTGCTGTTTCACGGCTAGGGAACTGAGGCATAGTCTTCGCCCACTGACATTTATGGTACCTGGAGAGCACGGGCAGGGCCTCCACCAAAATGTGTCACTCTGAAAAGACCTAGATGGTTCAAAATAGCTGCACATGTGCAGAAGATAACCCATATGTGCGAATTTCACAGATCACCACTCAAAGAAACACAGTTACAGGAAAGCAACTCATTATTTGGTCTGTTAATCATTGATTTAAAAGCCATTAAAATGGAAATGATCATTTAACATTGCAAAAAAAGGAGCTAGTCCTTACAGGAAGAAATTAAAATAATAAGAAATATTAATTGTTGCCTCAAAGCCTTATGTTGTAGATATCTGAACAATTGAAATAACAATGATTACATATATGTTTGAATTGTTAACAAGAACCTACAACCTAGGCTGGATCTACACTGCCATATAATGCAGTTTCAGCATCCAGATTAGCTGCATTGAATTGGTTTATATGCATCTATAGTGCCATATAATTCAGTTCAGTGCAGTTAATATCCTTTTTGAAAGTTCATTATATGGTAGTGTAGATCCAGACTTAATTTGTGTCAAGCAGAAACCTATCTCGTTCCGGTAATCAGACTGCCCCATTAAGTTTCACACTGTTCTTTGTACTTCTACCAATACAAGAAGTCAGGATAGATTACTCTGGCTATAGCTCTTTAGAGGGCTTTGCCATCTCTTGCTGCTACCTGAGATTTTTTCTAGTGGTGGGACTGGGGACTGAACCCAGGACTTCCTGCATTTGATTCAGGGACTGTAGTGTTTTGTTGTTGCGTCTTTGCTTAGAAGGAAGAATGTGCTGAGTCTGGATTCCACTGTTCTTGCAATAATACAGAAGGAAGGGTTGTTCCACACATTGCATTAGAGAGAATTTCTATATGTTCATACCTTTTGGATACAGCCCAGGACAATTTAGCTTAATGACTGATAAACTGCTATCTAAGGCAGTCCACTATAGCTTTGCTTGAAGTCACAGCTGAGGAAATGCTTTTCATCCATAAGATGTTTCTAAAGTTTCTGGAACAGAACTACTCTTAACTACAGTTCTTTTACCTAACAGCCTAGATGAACATCAGTGGCAACAATGAGAAAATAGTTTCAATGTTCACTTGAAGCTTTCATCAAACAGTCAGACTTTTGATGTACTTAGCTTAGCCTTGTCTGTCTAGATAGACAACATGTCATAAATGCCTGAGGTTGGGTTTTTCCCTGACAAGGCTTAAAGCCAATTTTACTTAACTTGAGTTTCCTGAATGTTCCTTAACTTTCATTACAAAGAACTTCCTGACCATAAGAGCTGCTCAGCACTGGAACTCACTGCCTTGGGGTTTGGTGGAGGGTCCTTCTTTGAAGGTTTTTCAGCAGAGGTTGGATGGCCACCTCTTGGGAGTGCTCTGGTTGTGTGCTCTTATATGGCTGGAGGGGGTTGGACTGGATGGCCTCTTCCAACTCTGTGATTCTATGAGTCTCCGGCCAGTATGGTGGCTCACCACCTGGTCAGGGATGATGGACTCCAAGATGGTGAAAGGCTACAATTAATGCCTCTTTTGTTCTGACTAAATCTTTTCAACTGGATATATCAGACTTTGACCCTTCTGTGTCAAAGCACATACACATCCTCTGTGCTGTGGCTCTTTCTACATGAGGCAATGAAAAATGGAAATATTACCTTTTTTGACTACATAGCGGGGAGCTGTCTGAATTGCATTTTTTTACATGCTCTGAGCTGAATGTGCATTTTTATTTGAGAGGTCAAAGTTTGCCCTCTTGTTTTTCATGCTTTCTGAAAAGTACTTGATTGGGGTACCTGTTGTACCTCAGTCAGGCACTCAGTATGTCCACTTATCTCCTGTTACAGTTCAACAACTCAAATACTGGCCTGTTCACTGTGTACACTGGCATGGATGACATCTCCAGAGCCCATATGGTGGAAACATGGAATGGATTAAAAGAGGTAAAAACTAAGTCACACTCTTAGTTTATTCCCTGTTCCTTCTTTTTCTCTCTTAAACACATAAAAATGCAATTACTCTTGTCCTCAGTTTTAATACATATTCTGGTTTCCCATTACCCTATAACTATTTTCTGTCCCATCAACTTACAAACCAGTATTGCAAAAATTCTACCAAAATAATAAGATTTACTGAAGCATCTGTCACCTCACAAATTCTCTGTGTTCTCCTCATCAAATCTGCCTCTACTCCAGGTTATAATATTAAAATCCCAATCTTTATTATACAGTCACATTCAATCTTTATTAAAATCCATAACTGAGGTAGCTTGGATTGTACCTTGAAAAAAGAAGTGAATTCATTCGCTGATATCAAATTGGCAAATAAAGCCTGCCCTCCCCCCAACTACATTGCAAAATGATGGAGTTGGTAAGGTTGCCTCTGTATTTTAGTATTCACAATCCCCGTAGGTGTCGTACTGGAACTCGGATCAGTGCAACATGATCAACGGAACGGCTGGAGAGCTGTGGCCACCTTTTAGAACCCCTTCCACACCTCTGCAATTTTACAGCCCAGATGCCTGCAGGTAAGTGAAGTCAAAATGGTTGCAACTTCTGAACTGGAATAATGTAATACTGATCTCGTCTAGAATTCTCATTGCAGTGTAGGACAGTAAAGAAGTGATTCCTCTTCCATTGGCTTCAACCTCTTTATATTTCGGCATCCCTTCTGTGTATTACTTAATCAATTAAGCCCAATTTCCCCCTTTTAAAAAATGGGCCGAGAAATATAAAAAGTTTCTCGCTGTTTCTTGAACTTCTTTTCAACCATAAAAGAGATCCCCTCATAATGGGTTCCCCATTTAAATTCTCTATTCTGATCCACCTCTGTGTGTTTTATATACTGCCTTTCTAGTGTCTTACATTCCTGAAAAAAAGCCATGTCACTACGAACTGATGCTGAATGTTCTAAAGAAGGGTCCTTTATCATTTGACTATAAAGGACAGGAGGAGGCAGCCTCTCTCTTGGAAAATGCTTTCAAATATTTCTACCCTTGTTTTTCAATTTAAAAAATTGCACAGTTGTAGAGTTTTAACATTTGTGATATGAAAGAAAAAAAGGGCTGGGGAAAAATAGGAAAATCAGAATGTCCAGACACTACTACTTAATGTTTCATCCAGAGACAACGTACTTCATAAACTGGACTGTGTGAAAACGTCCTTTACCTCATCTGACCAAAGTCAACTGTCCATCAGTTGCATTGAGTGTATAGGAGTGCATTGAGTGTATTATTGCAGGGGCAATTTTTCTCATTTGCCGCACTCTTTAATTCTGGAAATCCTTACCATATCCTGTCCCATTCGAATCATCTGTCCCCAACCTAAATTAAAAATACATTGGTATTTTCATGTAGTGGGATTAGTTTACTGTTTGATCTTTTATACCTTGCCTGCTTTCTTGCTAAAAGCTAATTGAGTAACTATTTAAATTACAATGTAGCCACAAAATCATGTGCCCTGTACTGTGGTTATTCCGTGAAGCACATTGGTGAATCCTGTGTCCTTCCAGATGTGTTTGAACGACAGTTCCCATCATGCCTCACCATTGGCCAGACTGATGGCTGCTGATGTCCAAAAACATTTTAAAGCTGCAGATTCCTTAGTCCCTCTATGTTAAGAATTTGTTTATTTATTTATACGCATTGCATAAATAAGTATAAAACTCATAAAATATAGGGAACACAAATGGCTAAATAATTTTAGACCAAAAATGGGCAATGGCAACCACATTGTCTGTGGCTTTAAACAATTAATTCTTCACGAGGCAGGGCATGGTGGGCAAGCATACAGATGCAGAGTTGTTTGTTCTGCTCTGTAGTCGCACAAGGTGGAGGATTCTTCTAGGTAGTGCCATTTTGCCAAGTTGCCTTTTGATCTGCCCACTCCGCTTCCGAGTCTGTTCAGCGACTTCCAAGTTGCCTATTCTTGGATTGCCCCTGGAGCAAGACCCTTGTGGGGGGGGGGGGGAATCCAGTTGGAATTGCCTGGTTTAGCTCCCCAGAGGTATACTCTTGCTGTTGCTGGGGGAACATTATGAGGAGTGATTGTTCTCATGAAGGTTTTCCTTGATTTGAGTCTACTGGGAGGAGGCTGATAGCCATGCAGTGAGTGGCTTTCACAGTGTTCAACCTTATTTTTCTCACAGTTAGCAGCAACTTCCTGTCACACATTYTGAGAGGAGGGGTTATGTTAAGGATAAAAATGGCCATTTCAGGATAAGGTGGATTAAAAGGGTAYCAGTCTTAAATGTAGAGGGAGAGAGGGAATAGTCTGGTGGCACCTGAGATGTTGAAGCATGGCTTGATGACATGATGTGTTGAAGTATTTCTTTCTTTTCTATGACTTGGGTGACCTCAATCTCTTGGGAATCACTGTTTTCAGATCGTTGACTTTAATCTTCAATCAAACTAGAGAATTCAAAGGCATACCTACATACCGGTATTTAGCACCAAAGACCTTGTTTGCCAATGGGACAGATTACCCACCCAATGAAGGCTTCTGTCCATGCATGCAGTCTGGAATTCAGAATGTCAGCTCCTGCCGCTTAAGTACGTCTGCCCTGAGTATTGATTTTCTTGTGAAAAGACAGAGCAAGGTCTAAAATGTGACATTGTCACCCTGGTGACCCTTGGGGAGCAGATGGCAAAAAATGAAAACTGGATGTCATGACACCCTTTGGCTACAACTGACACTCCCCGACCCTCCAGCTCCCGCTTTTGGTTGAAATCACATAAAACAGCTGAGAACATTTTCAAAGCTTTGTGTGTGTGGGGAGGGGAGGGGGTCCCTACCTGGAAGCAGAAGAATTCCCCTGCAGGCAGCCCAAAAGATGTTAAGGAATGATAAGACACCATGTTGCAGTCCTACAGCAAGGCTGAAAGACAAGCCCCCTTCCGAAAGGATCTTAGAATTTCAGCCATCTCCTATAGGTAGTTCAGACTTAATGTTATATTATAGAAATTAACTTTGTAGATAACATGCTCTCTCTTGCTTTTTTAAAAATAAGCTAGTTTCTAATCCTCATGATTGCTGCAGTTTTGCACTTATCACTCTCTTGGCTAAAGTATTGCATTTTGATTTCAGAAATAGAGAAGTGGAGATAGTGAGGTGATCTAGAGCTGGACTTCTTAAACATTTCCACTCGTGACCTCTTTCCACCCAAGAATTTTTTACATGACCCTAGGTTTATAAAAATAAAACATTTACTGATAACAAATCAGCATTTGCAAGACTTGCTGAACAGACAGATTTTCCTTTTTTATAAAGTACACCCGACACATCTTCTGCAGAGTCCACTGTAAACCCTGCATCACAGCTTCATGTAAATCTTAAAAAGCCCCTACTTTTACTGTTGACAGTTTATTTATTGGGGGGGGGGGAGTGGGCAGCACTGAGCTCAGGAGACCCCATTTGGAGTTGGGACCCACCGTTTAAGAAGCAGAGACCTAAAGAGCTTTCTCAAAAGAGTTTATTTTTCTTCTGCATATCATTTCTTGTTTTTTGTCTTCTTTAAAAAGATGCACCTGTATTTATTTCCCACCCTCATTTCCTCAATGCGGATCCATCCCTCCAGGAGGCAGTGGGTGGTCTGCATCCCAATGAAGAAGAACATGAACTTTTCCTGGATCTGCACCCGGTAAGTTTAAGATTTGGTGTTCATTCTTTTTCTTAGAGTCAGTATGATAATGGGACACCCCAGTAAGTAACTTGCTTTATCAGATTGACATTTTAATACATTTTGGGAGGGTACACTGCTCATTCCCAGTCCAGATGAGGACAAAGTCTCCTACCGTTGCCTGCCGTGCAGACTAAGAGGTCATAGGCCTCCTGGCAAGAAAGCTTTTTCAGTGGTGGCCTCCACCCCAGCTCAAGCATGGTCACCAGATGCTTATATAGTCGTCTTTTCAACACAAATATAAGACTTTTAAATTTTCCAAGGCTTTTAGAATGCTACTATCTTGGTCCTTGGAGCATCATGGTGATTTAGTTGTTGCCTTCCTGACAATGTTTCTATTGTGTTGGTATATCTACTAATTGCTTAAACTTACAGCTATGCACCTTTGTATACTTCAAATAAGCCTCTGCATTCTGCAGTTACAAGTCATAACATGTTCCTTTAAAAGGAACCAATTTGTAATGATATTTGCTTGGAACCATATCTAATCTGCTGTCCACTTGTATTGCGTTTTATGGCTTACTGCTTGCTGAGAATTCCATAGTACAAGGATATTTCTAATTATTGCACTGATTAAACTGGCTTTAAAACCATAAATCAATTAGTACTGATAGTTTCTGAAGCTGTTAGACAGCCACCCTTACCCTTGGAAAGTGTGTGTAAGAGGAGGGAAGGAATTGGTGCCAAGATGAGCATTTTCTTTCCAAATGCAGAGATTTGATAGCCAGCCTAATGAGGACCAAGTTACACTTAGCCAGACTTCAAGATCTAGAAAGTAGTCACCAGTCTTTGCTTGATGGGTTAGTGTTTCGACCATTGATCTTTCTGACTGTGTATGAAATAGCTTGGTAAACACCTTAAGTTATCAGTTGCTTCTCAAAGAGATCCAGTTAGCAATAAATTTGGATGAAAAGAAGGACACCCAGTAACTTTTTGGGCATTTTCCTAGACCCATGGGAAACCAGAACATTATTTATCAAAAGAACTGACAGATTAATGTGTACTTCTGCTGGCACTTCACAGTACAGACGTTTGCATTTGGTAGGAATCTGATTTGTGGATGACAGTCTCCATTTTGATTGATGTCTGTTCCAATGTATAGAAAACTTGAACAATTTAAATGTCTTTGTCATCAGTTTTAAATTTATGTAAATCCTCTCTGATTTACAGTAGAATTTAGATGGATACTCTCTTGACAGCTTAAAAACAGTCCTATTGGTTCCTGCTGATTTATTTTTTCCAGGTGCTTTGAGAATAGCTTCCACTTTACTTTCTAAAATAGTTGATTCCTCGTCAAGTTGGCTCCTTGAAGAAATTTGTTATCCTTTAACCTCTTCTGCATAGTTAGTTCTTCAGCCTATTGCTTCCATCTTTTTATCATGTCCTGATTATTGAATGGGTTCTTCTGATGGGCCATACAGTATCCTTATTTTTGGTTTACAATTCTCTTTGATTTCTCAGAACATATAGACGAGGTCACTTACTTTTCCTTTACATTGTCTTCTATTATTTCTTAGTACTGATTATTATAATATTTTCCTTAATGGGAATTCCTACGATCTCTGGGAGGGGGAGGTATGACGGTAGGCGCAGGCCAAATACTAGAGGGAGGTTGAGTCGGCGGGAGACTCGGCCCCCCTCTGACCTGCGGCCTATCCCCAGGTACATCTGTGACAGGCAACCAGTTTCCTCCCCTCCTACTCTGGTGTTAGTGAATGCTAGGTCCATAAGGAACAAAACTGCTACCATCAGGGATTTTCTTAATGATCAGGGAGCTGACCTAGTGTGTATTACAGAAACTTGGATCCAAGAGGGGGATGAGATCCTACTCCAGGAAATAACATCTCCAGGTTATGCAATCACTCACCAGATGCGGACTGGGAGGCGGGGGGTGGGGTGGCTATGCTCGCCCGAGAAAGTTTTTCTCTTAAGGCAGTCCCTGTGCTGAGCATCCCTGGCATTGAAAGTGTTGGCCTGGTGTAGGATTCCTGTGAGATCATAGCCTTTCTGCTGGTGTACCGTGCGCCTAGCGCACCAGCAGACAGCCTATCCCAACTGCTTGAGACTGTGTCGGAGTGGTCCTTGAGGTTCCCCAGACTTATCGTCTTAGGGGATTTCAATATCCACGCTGATGCAGACTCTTGTTCATTAACGGCTGTGGACCTAGTGTCTACCATGGAGACACTAGGACTCTCGCTTTGTAGTACTGGGCCCACGCGTCGGGCAGGACACACGCTAGATTTGATTTTCAGCACAGGAATTCAAGTGACCCAAGCCTCCCCAATAGAGGTTCCATGGTCGGATCACTGCGCCCTGAGAGTCCAGTTGGAGCATGCCTACCCACGCTGCAAGGGCGCCGAGCCAATTTGGGCTCGCCCAAGGAGACTTATGGAACCCAGTAGGTTCCGGAATGCTCTGAGGGATCTGGAGCCTGCCAGCGACTCGATCGATGTGCAGGTGGACACATGGAACATCAGGCTATCCAATGCACTCGACGAGATCGCCCCTAGACGCCCTCTCAGACCCCGCCGAAATCGGTCTCCTTGGTTCACCGAGGAACTTCGACTGATGAAGCGGGAAAAGAGACGGCTGGAGGGCGTGTGGCGAGAACTCCGTGACGGAGCATCGAGATCAGCTTATGAGGCATTTAGGGAGTCCTACGAGCATGCTATCACCAAGGCAAAGCGAGTATATTATGCTTCTTTGATAGCGTCTGCGAGCTCACGCCCGGCAAAATTGTTCAAAATAATTCGATCTCTAACGACGGTTCCTACCATCCCAAAAAGTGGTGATCAGGCCCCTTCAGCCGAGGTTTTTCAGAGCTACTTTGCAGACAAGATCTCGCTACTTCGCCGGGACCTCCCCGCTACAATTGATACAGTGAGAGAACTTGAGACTCCGTGGCCACTTGCTGGGCCCATCCTCGACCGGTTCATCCCGCTGGACGCAGGGGCTGTCGATAGGCTCATAGCTGCAGCCAGACCGACCACTTGCTCCCTCGATCCGTGTCCCTCTTGGCTGGTGAAATCCTGCTTGGAGGGATTACGCGACCCTCTGTTGTAGATTATAAACAGCTCCCTTGAGCAAGGAGTTTTTCCAGAGGGTTTAAAAGAGGTGGTGGTCTCTCCCCTGCTGAAGAAACCAGATTTAGATCCTTCGGTTCCCTCCAGTTACCGCCCAGTTTCGAATCTCTCGTTCCTGGGCAAGGTGATTGAGAGGGCAGCAGCGGAGCAGTTGCAGCAATTCCTAGACGACACAGCCGGACTAGATCCCTTCCAGTCCGGCTTCCGTGCGGATCACTTTCGATGCCAGCTTGACCAGGGCGGGTCAGCGCTGCTTGTGTTATTGGATCTCAGCAGCATTTGACACAGTCAATCACAATCTTTTGACCCACCGCCTTGCTGTTGCTGGAGTCATGGGGACAGCTTTAAACTGGCTGTTCTCCTTTCTTCAGAACTGTGGACAGCGAGTGGAGAGGGGAGGCCTGGTCTCTGAGAGGTCCCCTCTATCTTGTGGGGTTCCTCAGGGGGCCATTCTCTCCCCTCTGTTATTTAACATCTATATGCGACCACTTGCTCAGCTGGTTCGAGGTTTTGGGCTTGAGTGTTATCAGTACGCCGATGACACTCAGCTGGTGCTGAAGATGGAAGGCCGACCTCTGTACCCGATTGTTTCCATCAGTGCCTCGAGGCCGTTACTGGATGGTTGCGTGCCAGCAGGTTGAGGGTGAATCCAGCAAAGACGGAGATCCTATGGCTGGGTCGACCGGGCAGTGGGGACATCCAGCTGCCTACCCTGGATGGTGAGGCACTACGCCCGTCATCATTGGTAAAGAGTCTGGGAGTCCTTTTGGACCCTCTGCTGACGATGGAGGCCCAGGTCTCCGCCGTTAGCAGAACTGCCTTTTTTCATCTGGGGCAGGCTAGACGGCTGGCCCCCTACCTGTCCAGGGACGACCTAGCTACGGTGATCCAGGCCACGGTCATCTCAAGACTGGACTACTGTAACGCCCTCTACATTGGCCTTCCTCTGTCGGTGATCCGGAAGCTCAAGTTGGTACAAAATGCAGCTGCTCGGCTTCTTGCGGGAATTCCGATGAGATGCCACATAACCCAATCTTACTACAGCTGCATTGGTTACCAATTGAGCACCGGATCACTTTCAAAGTGATGGTACTCACCTTTAAGGCCTTGCATGGTCTGGGGCCGATGTATCTGAGGGACCGCCTCACCCCCTACCAACCCAGAGATCCCTCCGTTCTGAGGACCAAGATCTATTGGAAGTCCCCAGTGTCAAGACCTTGCGTCTAACAGCAACCAGACGCAGCGCCTTCACAGCAGTGGCACCATCACTCTGGAATACTCTGCCACCTGAAGTCCGTGCCTTGCGGGACTTGCCAGATTTCCGCAGGGCATGTAAGACATACCTGTTTCGACAGGCTTTTAATGTTTGATAGTGTTGTTTTTAAATTGTTTTAAATTGCTTTTAAATTTTGTTAGATTTTAGCCATTCTTGTAAGCCGCTCCGAGCCCCAGGGGAGTGGCGGCATATAAGTTTAAATAATAAATATAAATAAATAAATCACTACATATGAGTCACTGAACATCTATTTCTATCACATTTAACTTTTCTTTATCTGTCCTTCAGTGCAATAATATAATACAATAGTATAATAATAAACGTAAAGTAATTTACATTATGGAACTTTCAGGTGTTCAGTGAATGGTGAAATAGCTGTAGTTTAGAATCTAGTTGGTCCCAAGTTCAATATCTGATGTCTCCACTTTGGGTTACAAAAGAATGCTGCCTTGAAACCAAATATTTTTTTCTGGTATATCCTTAACAACAAAGCACATACTGTCTGGCAGATGTTGAAACTGCAGCAAGAGGCCTCAGTGGGAAGCATATCATGACTGACCTTTGAGCTTTTGTGCTGTACTAATTCAGATAATCCTAGATCTAATCCTAAATCAGGAGATTATTTTTAACACACTCCTGTTCTGATGATTATAAGTTTTCTTGTTTTAGAAAAATATCTTGATGTAATGGTTAAACTTGGGAAACTGCCCTTTCCCCAAAAAGCCTTGCTTAGCATTTTAGATTTGTAGCAAAACTGTAATGCGAGGGACTGAGCTTGTGGCTAATTCAAGGCTACCTTGTGAACTTCACAATGATTGGCACAGGGCTAGGCCTACCCTGAAGCCAAGAGAGGCAATGTCAGCATCTGCCAGACAATATGTGCTTTGTTGTTAAGGATATACCAGAAAAATGTTTGTAATTAATACTTCTGGTTACACTTGTTCTGCTGACACTGACTTTTGCTGTATGAAATCAATCCAGTCTTAGTTTTGAGAGAAAGGCAGAGTCCAAACCAAATACATGTAAATGGGAGTCTGTGCTTGAAAAAGAAATGACTACAATAGAACGTCTCTTCACCTGATCAAATCAGGATGGTTTTGCATGGGATCAGAGAAGTCATGAGGTTAGTGCCAAACAAGCTTTTCTGGGAAAGAGAATTCAGCCTGGGCATTAAAACACCTTGATTGAATCCTTTAAAGATTTGAACTTGGACCTTCCCACATTCCAGTAGTCTTGTCACTGGATATAGGATGACCATAGTAAACACTGATAAAGGCTCCTGCACCTTTAAAATTTGTATAGAAGAGGAATTTTCAGCAGGAATTGCTTGTTACCCAGCTGTTTGACAGACAACCTATGCCAAAATTGCCTCTTTTACACAACAGTTACAGATACATTTTTTGGTTACGCAACTGTAGTGGGATATCTTGCCTAAGGCCTAAAATAGCAGCTGATATCTAGCAGCCATGTTAGCTAAGTGACCTCTTGATGTCCAAAATGACAAATTTCCCCAGCCCTGGTGACCTGTCAGTATATACATTTACAACTTTTACTACCAGAAGTTGTTATCTTATACACTGACAAGCCTGGTCACTAGGGGTAGGGAAAGCTGGTCCAGAGCTTGAATTTGCAGAGAATGAGGCCTCTGCAAGCTGCTTAAGAGGGTTAGCTGCAACCCAGGCCCCCATCTTCACAGGCCTGGAAAGAGTAGGGTAAAAGAGGGGATGACTAGAAAACACAGACCAAAAATGTGTGCTTGATCGCGAGACTGCATGAAAAACACATGATAAAAAGATTAGCATAATATCCAATATTGGGCAAAAAATGTGCTTCTGCAGAGCACAATATTCCAGCACTCCCAAGAAACTAGACTTCCTTCCAATACACTAGTACAGACTGATCCAGAACTTATCCTCATTTTAAACTCCCGAAGCTGCTGATGAAGGATGTAGACAAATGGAGCCACAGACACACAGGTGGCTCAAGGGAAGCATGAAAAGAAAGCAACTCCCATGACAACAGCCATTCCTTTGTTCTCATATTTTTGAAAAGAAACAGAGTTTGAATTTACACAGTGGGCACCAGCATGCAGGCAAGTGATCCCAAAGGGAAACAGAGTTCAAGAGGGCAAACATAAAAGCACTGGAGAGAAAGCCAGGAGAGACGACCACCAGGAATCTGTTTGTGTACACATTGTTATATCTGCATCAGGACATTAGCGTTCATAAGCATTGGCAAAATACTTATCAGGTGAAGCACGTCTTAGAGTGTCATTGGGGGGGGGGGGGTTAAAATAAAACTTCCGGAGAATGTCCCGTATCTTTCACGGTTCCCTTCAGTCCACATTAACCAAACCTTTCTGGACGCCATGAGACCATTTCGTGGGACTAATGGCTATGAGTAAGGACTCTCCTTAAAGTTCCAGGATTTTTAATCTCACTTCCTTACTCCAGATTAAGTGGTTGTCTGAAAGGGCCCCAGATTCTGGGATCTCACTGGTTTGGTAATGACAAAAAAGGCTTTTTTGCCAAGAACATTTAAGAATTTGAGTAGCACCTAACCCATATAACACTGTTATCAGTACACAACAAAATACAGTATCTACAAAACAGCAGTTCTTTTATTGGTCAGCCAAAATGTAGTTGTTATCAGTGTTCTCCTGAGTGTAACAGGCTTTGACTATAGAAGCCCCATAGCTTGCAGAAGATAACCCAAAGTGGAGTCAAATGCCCTGGTTTGTTTTGAGTTTTTTTTCTCTTGCACACAGGCTAAACCATTATTTTCAGAATGCCTTCTATTGTTGATTCACGTGACTAGAAACTTTGTTTGTTCTGTGCCACTACTGTTTGTCATTTTCTCTTTTCTCAATATGACTACCGTTGCTTTAATTACATTACTGAAATGTGAAGAGAAAGTGGAATAAAATGTAGCAATAAATCAATTAAATGGCTATCCAGAGAATGGAGCAACTTGTTGGTTTAAATGTTTTGTGTTAGCTGGTAATTCCACTTCATGAGCTAAAATACCTTACAGTTGTTTTTGTTGCTGCTGCTGTTGTTGTCATTCGACAGCTGGTCTTTTATGCTGATTGCTTATATCTCAGCCTTGGTTTTCCTGATTTCTAAAACAGGAGAACTATAGTCATTGGTTGGCTTCAGCCAAGTCTTGACATAGTCTTTTGTTCACAGTTCTAAAATGCAGATTGTCTCAGTGCATAATATGGCTCAGGCCATAGTAGATAATTAGCTCAGTTTTGTAAATGGCTTTGGCTGATGGACCTTGGTGCTCTGGGGCGAAAAAACCACCAACACATCAATAAACCAAAGTAGACATGGAAGCCTGAGCTGAAGAGCATGGAAATGTCCTTCTTTGGACTGCAATTCCTTACATCCTTATGCTAATATGGCCAGTGGAAATTCTGGAGGTTGCCGTTCTAATAGAGAACAGTCCCAAGATCTCCTGAAATGAACTTATTTCTCAGAGAAAACAATGGAATTGTAATCTTTAAAAGCAGAAGTTGCAGTCACTGACAAAAACCAGTGTCAGCGCATTTGGGACTTGGTCAGCATTCATTTGTTTTCAAGCTTCCAAAATTTGGTTCTGTTATTTTTATTGCCCTGGAGCCTAGGGTGATTGTGCCATCTGTTGTGTTGAAAGAAGAAAATATTGTGTAACCTTTTTCCTGTTATGCCTATCATAAAAGAAGAGCCATAATAATAAAACTTGTTGTTTAAAATAAGAAGATAAGAAACTCACTATATTTTTACAACTCAGTCTCATGGCATGTGCTAGAAGTCATTCCATACTTCTAGTGGAAGGTGAAGATTGCCTCTTGATGTTCAAGTGAATGACAAATAGATCTCAAA